GAGGCCAAGCTTGGAAATTTTTCCCTGATGCCATAGTTAACCAGAAAACAAAGCCCAGTTCTAATAAAAATGGACATTTCACTTTAGGGTTTTGCTTTCTCTTTTCAGAGCTGTATGCACTTGGCTGTCTCAGTATAGGTTTAATAGAGGCTTAATATTTGTTATTAAACCTTTTAAGTTGTCAATATCACAAGTAGAATGTCTCAATCCAGCCACTTGAAAAGCCTGTCCTGGCAGCATCCTGTCAAACCCTACTCATACCCTCTGCTCCACAATGAGTTTATTTTGCTTATTCTTTGCGCTATTTTCTGTGGAAAATAATAATAATGTGGATATCACAATATGAACAATATCTCTGATCAAAGGAAGAGGAATTTTTGCAATTCAGCTCCCATTTTTTCTGCTCTGAACCATCTGGGCACTTCCAAGGAGCATCTTAATTCTGAAAAATGATTTATCATCAATTTTAGTCCGAGTAGTAATTCTGCTAAGTCCTATTAAACGTGTAGATTCTCATTAGCCCTGTGATAATCCCTTGGGGGTTTATCTGAACAGCAGCCTGTGTGTTGAATGAAGGGGTGGGGGGGGGGGGGGGGAAAGCCCGCCCAAAAAACTTTGGGGGGGGGGGGAAGGTGGGGTGGGGGGGGGCGGTGTGCAAAGCCGACCCAAAAACATTTGGGGTGAGTGAGGAGCGCCCCAACAGAGATTCCTTGTGTCCTCATCCTCATCCCAGACAGGTGAGATTTCAGCCTGTTTCCCAAGCACCTTATTGTGAAGAGAAAGGAAACATCCTGCTTTTCTTCCTGCATCTCCGGTCGGGATGAAGCTGCCCGTGGCCGCAGGGCGGCTGGGGCTGGTGGGCAGGACAATTCCCCTTTGTCCGGAGCAGAGGGAAGGACAATGAAGCTCCTGTTGAGGGTCAGGCACAGGGAGGCACCACCCCAACGCCAGCGTGGGCAGCGGGGACCCTGCAGACACAGACCTCATATCCTTCTGAGTAATGTCCAAAGGGGAAAAAAAGCAAAGTTAGAGGAAAGACAAAGCTTAAAAGTGTGTGTTTTGGCAGAGAGGTGAGAGCAGGGGACGCACCAAGGTCTCACCCTTCTCTCTTCCAATAGAAACAGCCCTGGAACCACTCAATCCAGAGCAGGAATATACATGAACAGGTTTGGAATTTACCAAAATTAGTAGTGCTCTGCAGGCAACACCTGAACTCTAAAGCACAGTGTCCACAGCAGGGAGGCTGCACTCCTAAAATGGGAAGTCTACAATCATGGCAGTAAATTGGACACGGTGTGGTAACAGAAAAAGCCTTGCAAATCAGAAAAAAAACTATGAAACCCCCTCATCTGGGGATGAGATCCCTGCGATTTGGCAGTGGATTTCCCATGGCAGGGTAAGAGGCTGGCAGCCTGACAGCTGATGGCCCTGCTGCCCTCCCCTCTGTCTGTGTCCCCATGGCCCAGACATCTGCTGTCCCCGCCGAGCAGCTGCCCCTGTGCAGCCCTGGCTGGGACAGCAGCAGGACATCCTTCCTTCCAGCTAAATCCAACAGAAATGGGCCGTCTGTCCTGTGTGGGACTTGAGGGGAGAAGGGGTCTATCAGGAAAAGCTCAAAAGTGCTCTGGAGCAGCAGCAGTTTGTAATTATCCCTGTGAGAAAAAAGAAAAGCCTTAGGCTATGGGGATGAGAGAGGATGGCGTCTGTTCCATCACTGTCTGTTGCCCAAACAAAGATCATTTTGCTCCGTAAGATTTAAAATTCAATATATTCGGCCCTCAGGAATTATTTCCTGAACACTTCCATCTCCTCTCCTTTGTTTGCTTACTTTGCAGCTGCTTTTGGAGCATCCAAGAGCTCCTGCTGAACCACATGCCCAGTTGTGCCAGCAGTGACCTCCTGAACTCTTATTTGTGATGTGGGTACATCCAACATTCCCTGGGGAAAAGTGTGGGTGCCCCAGCCTGGGTCAAAATGAGCTCTTGGACCTTCAGGTGTGAATAGCAGGCTCAGCTGAGAACAGTTTATTGCTCATTAGTGCTCTCAGGGCTGTGCTGTTCTCAAGGTCAGGGGTCAGATAAATAATTTGGACTATTGGAAGGAAATTCCATCCCAATGTGTTGGGATGGAAATAAAATCTGCTGGGGGGAGTGGGTTGCCCTCACTGCCCATCCCTGACCCTCCAGCACTGCTGGGTGTGAGCAAGCCACGGGGATTCAGCCAGTGGCACGGTGGGTGATTTTGTTGAAGCCATTTCCTTACCTGGCAAGATAACACAGACTCAGGAAATGAGCAATTCCAGTCTCTCATCCATATATTTATATATTCCCTCCACGTTTCCTAATAAACTGGTCCGAAGGTGCCTTGTCTGGTCCCTGGCACAGCCCAGCGTTTGTAGCTGAAGCTGCTGCTGACATCTATGGTCAGCCTGGGGTACTGGTGTTTGAAAGTGTTGGAGCCACAGGCAGGGTTGGGTTGGAAAACATCTTTAAATTCCTCTCCATCCACCCCCTGCCATGGGTAGGAACACTTGCCACTATCCCAGGCTGCTCTAAACCCCATCAGACTTGGCCTTCTCTGGGTGTCCTGTGCCAGGGCCTCCCCACCCTCACAGGGAGGAATTTCTCCCCAATATCCCATCTAACCCTTCCCCCTGGCAGTGAGAAGCTTTTCTCCCCCATTTTCTCTCCCTCCAGGTCCTTGTCCCAAATCCCTCTCTAGCTCTCCTGAAGCCCCTTAAGGCACTGGAAGGTGCTGTCAATTAGTTGTGGTGTTCATATGGATTTAACCAAGATATCATCATTATAAAATAATTGCTGTCTCACTTAAAATTACAAGAAATTACATCAGAAGTGAAAACTACTCTGAAGATATCAAAGTAATGCTGACTGGATTTTCAGCTGATTGTTCTCCTTAGGAGGTTCTCTGGACCACACCTCATGCCCTAAGACTGTGGAAATCCCCTTCCACAGGGAAAGCCTGTTAGGTGCTGTAACATTACACCCAGTACGGTGATACAGACAATTTATCTGTAAATTAATTCTCAACACCATGCATGACCCCTCTTTACCACATTAAATTTCCCTATTAATTATAGTGTTGGACTGAAGCACCTCTTGAGATTGATGGAAATCTTTCAGCACAGGTGTCAGCATAGGTACAGCTCTCTCAGCATTCTAAGACCCACACAGTGCCATTTTCAGGAGATTTTTATTGGAGCAACAATAGCTGGGAAAGAAACCCCAAAAAACACAACCAGGCAAGCTTTTGGACATGGAAACCTCTTACAAGCCTGCTCTTAGCTATAAATTTTATTTTGGGTTGTCTGAAGCTCCTGAGCTTTAGCACTCTCTCCCTTTCTGATTTTTTCCCTCATTTTCAGAAGGGCTGGGTGCTGCTCCTGTTTCCCCATAGACTCAAAGATTAGCAGCAGGGGCACAGCTGGAGCTAAATCAGCTCCAGCCCCAGGGAGGGTGGGTTGAAGGTCACCCTCCTGTATTCCCACTGGGGCAGGAAAGGAGCCGAGTAAACATCTTCTCCTGCGTTTTGTTCCTATTGAAAACTCAGCTTTAAGGCTGCAGGCCCTGGTGTAAACATTTGGATTTGTGCAGAGCGAGCACATTTATTTGTTTATTAGAGGCAAAAGCAGTTTAGTTGCCCCTCAATACCAAGTGCTGCTCCTTCCTGAGGTTCCCAGCAGGGTGGGTGGGTACCACAGAGGCACATATTTGATCCCAAGCTCTTTCTGTGCACCTCACATCCCTCCACAGCCTCGTGTGTTCCAGCTCCATCAGATTTTATCTGCTTAATGATGTGTGAGAGCAATCCAGCACAGGAAGGACATGGAGCTGTTGGAGTGAGTCCAGAGGAGGCACCAAAACGTTCAGAGAATGGAGCAGCTCTGCTGGGTGGAAAGGCTGGGAGAATTGGGAAGGAATTTTTTTCCCTGAGGGTGGGGAGGCCCCTGGCACAGGTTTCCCAGAAAAGCTGTCCTATCCCTGGAAGTGTCCAAAGCCAGGACTTGGAGCAAGCTGGGCTAGTGGAAGGTGGGATGAGCTTTGAGGTCCCTTCCAACCCAAACCATTCTGGGATCTGATGATGAGCAGCTCCTCATCCTTCCCCCTTCCCAGCTGCAGCTGCACAGCCCTGATGGAGCAGCTGATTGTGGATAACAGCTGAGGGCATGCAGGTGTGAGCAGATCTGACCAGAGCCCCCAGGTGTTTGCTGCCTCCCGGCATTTCTAGAGGAGAAATGGAACTGAGGATACGCTGCTTTGGCAGGTCAAAGGGCCAGGAAAGAGCTGCCACTAGTGCCACCGTGGGACCTGTCACTGTGATGATGTTTTCTGTGCTGTTAGGGCAAAGAGGTCTGTGGCTTGCTCAGATTTTTTCTTAAAAAAAATCTTAATCTTAAAAAAATTTCTATTAAGGAGCAATCAGTTGCTACTTCTCATTCGAACTTGAACTGCTTTTCTGTAACAACTCTCCTTTTTTATCAATAGACTTTTTAGGAAGAGGTTTGTACAGCATTCACTGCTTTCCCCACCAGGCTGACCTACAAGAGCTGCCTCTAAACTCTCCTGATCTGCTAAATTTAAATTTTAATCTCCTCCTAACTTCCCTTTTTCATCTGCTCAACAATACCATGTTAATTTCAGGGAGCTTCTGAGGAGGAGCAGAAGCAGAACCCCTGACGTCAAGATCTATCACAAGGCCCCACTTGCTTTTTTTTCCTATGAATTACCCCAAAAGTTATGTGGCAATGCTATAACAGCACAAGTTTTATTTAGTTTTAGCCATTTATTGCTGCCCCAGCTTTCAGAGTTCTGATTCTTTAGAATAACCAGTTTGTTTTAGTTAAACTTTACCTCTAATCAGAGCAAGTTTCAGCTGCCCACCCACCTCTGCAGTGTCTTTCCAAATCCAGTTTCCCATCTTTGGACAAAGAAATCTTCATTAACAGCTTTTACTACAATAAAGACACAACACAGGTGTGTGCTCAAAAGGCTTCAGTTTATTAAAAAAACGAGGATCTGCTTTGCAGTAACAGAACAACCACGATCATGCAATTCTTGCACAAACACAATGCAGGCAGAAGATTAAAGACAAAAGCTGCACAACATACGGGAGGAACTCAAGCAAACCAAGATAAAAATTAAACCAGTGGTTTACAATGAACATTAAGTTCCAAACAGTAAAAATTAAGTGCCAGTGTTCGTGCCATCTCTCAAACTTTTAGTCTTGTACAAAAGCTGAAAGGAAGCCACAAAAAAACTGTAAAGAGCTATGCAAATGTACAAAACCCAGCTCGAGTAGGAGGAGCATTGTAACATGAAAATCGAGGTCAGATCACATCTACTCTTCCTCCAAGCACGCTCCCTCTTCAGCAGGATCCAGTGGCAGGGGCCGAGCTCTGTAAGGAGCATTAATTCAGAAGCATTAGCAGAAACCAGCTGTGGTTTGAAAGGCTAAAAAAGCCCTTTTCCCAAAGCCCAAATGACTTAGTCAGCCTCAGACAGCACCTTGAGGCATCAGGACTGGCAGGGGCTACTTCATCCTGGGTTCTCTTCCCACCACCTTGTTCTTGCTCGGCCCAACAAACTCCAAATTAAAGGGATTAAAGTTTTCCTGTGCTACAGCAAATGTTTTCTGTTTTACCAACAGGTGGGATGCACTTAAAAGCCTTTGTCTGTTTGTCCTGCAGGACAGTTTGGGCCCACTTCTTATGGGCTCCCCCTGGCAGTTTGGGAATACCTACATTTGGTGGAAAAATGGAGGTTCAACCCAGAATTCCCTATGGAAAACAGAGTGTCTTGTAAGACAGTATTTTATATTGCTGCCTTTTTAGTCAGTAGTGCAGCCTACAGGTTAATCTCTGAGGTTCCAGCTTGGAAAAGCCATTCAACTCCTGGCACGTGGAAGTTGTTAGTGCTCTCCTAAGCTTCTCCAAAATTCACTGTGCTGGCAAAGTTATGCCTGAGCAGTAAGAACTTGCCTCAACTTCTCCACCCATTTTCAGGAACCATGATGAGGTCTCTAAAAACCTTGCCAGACTTTGCTGAGAAACATCACTTCCATGAGGATACAGAGGTCAGGAGACACACTGTCAACTTGCCCCTTCAAAAATGAACTGGAGTTTCACAGAGGAAAAATAATCACAGCTTGCTTCCCTGTGGGGGTTCCAGTTGTTGGTTTCTCTGGGTCTGGAGTGAAGGCACTTGAGACAGCAGTTCATGTTCAGACTCAAGTGTTTACTATTTCTTATCAGTGAAACAGTCTCACTAGTGTGAGTTTGGCAGCTTTTCATTAGAAGGCACAAAATGGCCAACAATCTCTTGTTCCAAGGTCTTTTAAGACTAAACTATCCAAGTAAGAACTGACATCTAGATTATTTCCCTTTTAAGCCAATAACTGATCCCAAAGAGCTGCAACGTGGACTTTTCTGCCCAATTACAAAATGCCACCCAAACCCACGAAGAAGAAGAAAGAAGAAGCATGAAAAAGAAACCCAGGATGACACCCTGTGCCCTCCATCTTGCTTCCATCCACAACATACTAAAAATCCCAAAACCTCAATTTCTCACCAAGTGATACACCTACACTAGTCTCTATAATCTATTTCACACCTTTGTGGATTCTAGCCTGTCTTGAAGTCTAGGAAACTTTCTCCATGAATGAGGGTCAAAGTCTGAGCTCCCGTGGGGGTCAGGGCACCCCAGAGCAGACAGAGAAATATTCCCTGTGCCCTGGGTTTCCACAGCTCCCCTTGCCCCAGTACCCACTCCAGGCCGCTGGTCCCGGGCGCGTCTCCATCGGGTGCCCGGCTCTCCTTGGCCGGGAGCTTCAGGAAGTCGCTGATGCCCCTTTGCCAGGCGGGCACCGGCCTCACGCAGACCCGGTTCAGCCCCACAGGGCGCCTGTCACCTGCGGGAGAGCGTGTCAGCCCTGGGGAGGGAGCGGGGAAAAGAGGGGGATGAAATGAAGGAGGGAGGGAGGAGAGAGAGGAGGAGGAGGGAAGAAAAGAAGAAAGAACGTAGTGTGAAAAATGCGTATTATATGATCGGCTTTCCGCAAATATTTATTGCTCTCTTATCAAGTTCTTCCCGCCTCGCTCAGCCCTGAAGAGAAGACGCTGTCAGGATTCAGAGAAAGAAGTTGACACTGACCAGACAGAATCCTTTGTTTGAATGGAATTTATGCATCATGAATGAGGTGTATGAATATGCAACAGGCTTTTGAGGGTTAGTCCTCTGTTAACACGTGTCCTTTTTCGGGTTTATTTTTTTTGGCCAGAACCGTCTGTAACTCTTTGTTCTTATCGTCTCGTATTACCCTAAATCCTAATTGTCCAAATTTTTTATTACTCTAACTATGTTACTATTTTCATAACCATTTTTATTACTATGAAACTTTTGAAATTTTAAAAACAAGTGACTGGCGTTTTTCACACTAGTGAGGGAGAGAGGGAAAGAGAGGAAAGGAAAAAGCGAGGGAAGGGAGGAAAGGAAAAAGCTTGGGAAGGGAGGGAGGAGAAGGGGCCGCGCTCACCTCTCCGGCCGGGCAGCGGCGGCCCCGCGCTGACGCTGCTGCTGCTGCTGCCGGAGCCCAGCGCCTTGCGGGGAGCGCGGGCGACCAGCACTGCGGAAACGGGGGACAGCGGGCTCAGCAGCGCCGCTCGGACCCCCCTCAGCCCGTCCCGATCGGAACCCCCTCAGCCCTGCCCGTCCCGTTCCTTTCCCGCTCGGAACCCCCTCAGCCCGTCCCGTCCCGCTCGGAACCCCCTCAGCCCTGCCCGTCCCGTCCCCTTCCCGCTCGGAACTCCCCTAGGCCCGTCCCGTCCCGCTCGGAACGCCCCTCAGCCCGTCCCGTTCTCTTCCCGCTCGGAACCCCCTTCAGCCCGTGCCGTCCCGTCCCGTTCCGTTCTTTCCCGCTCTGAACCCCCTCAGCCCGTCCCGCTCCTTTCCCGCTCGCAACCCCCTCAGCCCGTCCCGTCCCGTTCCTTTCCTTTCCCGCTCGGAACCCCCTCAGCCCGTCCCGTGCCGTTCTCTTCCCGCTCGGAACCCCCCTCAGCCCGGCCCTGCCCGGCCCGTCCCCGCACCCTTGCGGAAGGCTCGTCCACGCTGATCCACCTTGGTCCGCGCCATCCCGGCCCGACACTGCCCGGCCCAGCCCCGCCCCGGCAGTGCCATTGGCCACAGCCCGCCAATGGAGCGCGGGGCCGCCCTCGTCCCGCTGCCTTCCCGCTCTCCTCTGCCCTGGCGGGATTTTGGGAAGAAATTCCCTGGGAGGGGAGCGAGGCGGTGACGCGGGGTGTACAGAGCGTCTGTGGCTGCCTCATCTCTGGAAGTGTTCAAGGCCGCGCTGAACGGGGCTTGGAATAACCTGGCCTAGCGGGAGGGGCCACTGCCCATGGCGCGGAGTTGGAATGGAATGGAACGGAATGGAATGGAATGGGATAAAATGGAATTTACGGTCCTGTCCAATCAAAACTATTCCCGGACTCTATGAACCGGTCCCGGAACGGTCGCTCCGCGGCCGCGTTCCCGGGGGAAGGGAAAGGAAGGGGAGGGTGTCGGGCGGTGCGTCGCCGTTTCCCGTCCCCCGCGGAAGATGGCGGCGCCCAGCGCGCTCCTGGCCTGGTGCGTCCAACACCTGCGCGGGGACTTCGGGCTGGACGTGGGCGAGGACGTGGTGAGGTGAGCGGGGCCGGGGCCCGGCGGGGCGCTCCTGGCCTCTGGCAGGGGCTCCTCGGTCCAGCACGGAGCAAACACGGTGTGTCAGAGCGGCTGTCGGGAGTGTGCCCGGGGTTGTCGCTCGGGTGGAGATTCCGCGCGGGGAAGTGGCGGAAGGTGGGATGTGGGATGACAGAATCACGGATTGCTCTTGCTTGGGAGGGATAGTAAAGGTCATATCGTGCCACCTCCTGCCATGGTCTTACCACGGTCTCCACAGAAACGGGATCGGAAAAGGAAAGATAAATGACACACGTGTGCGATGAGACCGCGGGCCGTCCGCCCCCTCACGCGTTTTTCTCCACCCCGGCCCGTCGTAGGTACATCTTGTCCATCACAAACGAGGATGAGATCCGCGAGTACGTTGTTGACCTTGTTCAGGGCACGGACGGGAAGAAGAGCTGGTTTGTGGAAGAGCTGCTGAGCAGGTGGAGGAAATCTGCCCAGCTGCCCTCCGAGCCCTTCCCAGCCTACCGGAAAAAGGACGGTGAGTGGTGCAGAGCGGGAAACTCCCAAATAAACTCGGTTGTTGTGCTTACAAACAATTCCATGCCATAAATCCCTGTATGGACACCATCCCATTCCTGATTATGGGGCACTTTAAAACCTGTTTTTGTGGTAGCAGGCCCCCAGCTGGGTAATAATTAGCATTGGCTCCGTGACCCAGAAGGCATGAAACACACTTTATTATTAGAATTCTACAGTTCTTATAGAAACACTGGTGGACCTAAGACCTGAAAACCTCTCCCACACTATTGGTGGCTATCAGTAACACACTCTAGAGAACCATATCTATAAACAGTGCTTACAGAAAGAGAGATAATAATTGTTTGGATTCTTTTCCTCTGACTTTCCCACAGCTTCTGCACAGCTTCCCAGGATTTTTTCTGGGAAAGTCTGTGCCCGCTCTCCGTGGCCAGAGAGCTGCTGCCACACATTTTCAGTCATGAAGTGGAGTCCAGGGACATCTTTCTTCTGCTGGCACTAACCCAGCCTCTCTCTGTGCTTGCTCACACTCCCAGAGGCTTTGGAAGTGCCACGGGCTGGGGAGCAAGGGAAGAAGGGGAAGCGCAAAGGGCGGAACAAGCAGGAGACCCCGGCGTACAGCGAGCCCAGTGCTCACGGGGAGGAGGTGAAAACCCCACTGGACCTGGCCAAGGTGAGTGGGGGGCAGGGGGTCACTGGAAAGGCTTGGAACCTGGGGAAAGGGGGTGTCAGACACTGGTGAAGGTGTGATTGGAAGGTGGAAAGGAGTGTCTGGGATGTGTCAGTGCCCAGGTGGGCACTGCTTAGGCCACACCTCAAATCCCGGGGTCAGTTTTGGGCTCCTCACAAGAAAGACAGTGAGGTGCTAGAGTGTGTCCAGAGAAGGAAACAGAGCTGGGGAAGGGGCTGGAGCAGCTGAGGGAGCTGGGGGGGCTCAGCTGGAGAAAAGGAGGCTCAGGAGGGATCTTCTGGCTCTGCACAGCCCCCTGACAGGAGGGACAGCTGGGTGAGGGTTGGCATCTACTCCAAGGAGACAAGGGACAGGATGAGAGGAAATGGCCTCAAGCTGTGCCAGGGGAGGTTTAGGTTGGATATTAGGGAAAAAATTTTCATGGAAACCATGGTCAGATACTGGAAGGGACTGTCTAGGACAGTGGTGGAGTCACCATCCATGGAGGGATTCAAAAACGTGTGGATGTGGCACTTGGGCAGGGAGGAAGGAAGAGAGAGAGGAAGGAGGAAGAGGGAAAAGGAGGGAGGTGGGAGAGAGAGGAAAGGAGGGAGAGTTATTGATGGGTCTCTGTGATCTTGGAGGGCTTTTCCAACCTGACCATTTCCATGTTTCTATGGTATCCAGGCTGGGGAGAAAGGTTGTGTCTGTAACTGGGAGTAAAATAATCATCAGGTAGCAAATATGCCAGCATGGATTTGTCTCCCCCAGAAAGCCTGAGGGGAGAGAGCAGGTGAAGAAAGTTGAGGCTGTAATTAGGAATAAAAAGGATTTCTTTGAATCAGATATGAGGGTGGGGAATCTAAGCCACCAAGTAGTTAGAACATCCTTTCCTACTGTATTTAAACTATCTCAGTCACGCCAATTAAAGCTTTAATTAGCAACCAAAATACTTCAGAAAGAAACTGTGGAATAAGAGCATAGAAACACCAAAACCTGAGAAATGCTGCAATTCCTGAGTAAGGAGTGGAACTTGATTTCACATTTTTAAATGGAACTTTTTGGGGCAGGGAGGCTGCAAAGGCTGAAAGTATTTGTAAAAGTGTTTATAGGATAAACCACAACATTTTTGAATTGGTGGGTTAAAAGTGGACAGTGATGTTCCATTTCCTTGTAGTTAACGTCTAACTTAATTAAAATGTAAAAAAAACCAAACAAGTGAGAAAGATCTGCCAAAGTCACTTTATCCTGTTTTGGGTTTATTTTGTGGTGGCAGTGCTTGAATCTGGCAGTGGCATTAAAACCAGTTGGACTTTACTGGGGGGACTGGAAATGCTGCATCTCCTTGTCACTAAACCAGATTGAAACTCAGAGGTGAATCATGGAACCACTGAGGCCAGGTCACAGAAGGAGGAGCAGAATTTATTTTACAGCTCAGTACTTGAACTCTCCTGTGTGGAAAACCTCTGCTGAGGTGGCTGTGCCAGGTGGGATTTGGGGAAGCTGCTGGGAGGTGACATGGCAGTGAATGCCCTGCTGCCACCCCCAACTGTGTCTGGGGGCAGGCGTACCCAGGGTGCACAGCTACAAACAGGGAATCTAAATAATCCTTGGAAATGAACTTGGGAGTGATGCCTTGTGAAGGCTGACCTAGTAAAGAGACTAGCCAGAGCTAAAGAGTAAAGTAGGGATTTATTAAAAGGCCTCAGTGGATCCACCTTGGGCAGCACAACCTAAAATGGCCACAAAATGTACCACAGGTCACGGGGGCGCACACTTTTCTAATTTCTGGTCCATTTGCATATTGGAGTTAATTGCCCAATTACAGCTTTAGCCCATGCAGTCCCATCCTGCTTGTTTTTCTCTCTTTGGCCCACATTGTTTGTGCTGGGCCTGAGATCTGTATTGGCTGTCCTTGGGTCCCCAGGACAGGGGAATTTTTTTGTCTGCTCTGTGAAGAGAGCTTGCTATCTCCTAATATGAAGCCTAGACTTGCACACTAAAGCAGAATAGAATCTGAAAAATATAAAAGCTAAACCTGAGGCAAATGAACTTGGGAGTGATGCCTTGTGAAGGCTGACCTAGTAAAGAGACTAGACAGAGCTAAAGAGTAAAGTAGGGATTTATTAAAAGGCCTCAATGGATCCACCTTGGGCAGCACAACCTAAAATGGCCACAAAATGGACCACAGGTCATGGGGTCTCACACTTTTCTAAGTTCTGGTCCATTTGCATATTGGAGTTAATTGCCCAATTACAGCTTTAGCCCATGCAGTCCCATCCTGCTTGTTTTTCTCTCTTTGGCCCACGTTTTTTGTGTTCTTGGGCCTGAGATCTGTATTGGCTGTCCTTGGGTCCCCAGGACAGGGGAATTTTTTTGTCTGCTCTGTGAAGAGAGCTTGCTATCTCCTAATATGAAGCCTAGACTTGCACACTAAAGCAGAATAGAATCTGAAAAATATAAAAGCTAAACCTGAGGCATCAGGAGTAGCTGAGCTGCTGTTTGGAGCTGTTAAACAGGTGTGAGGTTGCACAGAGAGCAGTGCTCACTGCCCAAATCCCACCAGCTCCAGCTGGCATGGGTGGCAGACTTTGAGTGCATCCTGGTGTCCTTGCTTTGTTTGGATTCCTTGGAGCTTTTCTGGCAGGCCTGAGCTTGTCTTTCTGCTCAGTCTGGGGTCTGGTCCAAGTGTCATTCCACTGAGGCAGAGTAACACTTGTCTGAACCTCCTGGCCTGCCCAGGGGTCAGTGCTGGCTCTGCTGCCAGTGCTGCACTGGCAGCACAGTTTGTTTATTTTTTTCCTTCCAGGCCCAGGAGAGCAGCAGTGGGGTCAGCGGCGGTAGCATTTCCTCCAAGAAGAAGCCCAAGTATGTCAGCCTGTACACCAGGGAGGGGCAGGACAGGCTGGCCGTGCTCATCCCGGGCCGCCACGCCTGCGAGTGCCTGGGCCAGAAGCACAAGCTCATCAACAACTGCCTGGAGTGCGGGCGCATTGTCTGTGAGCAGGAGGGCTCCGGGCCCTGCCTCTTCTGTGGGGCCCTGGTGAGTGACCAGGGAGTTTCAGCAAGTTACTGGGCAAGAGGCTGGAGAGGGGCTTGGAGCACAAACCCTGTGAGAATGACTGGGGGAGCTGGGGGTGGTTAGCCTGGAAAAAAGGAGACTCAGAAGTGACCTTATCACTCTACAGCTCCCTGAAAGGTGACTGTGCTCAGGTGGGGTTCTGTCAGTGCTCTTTCTCCAGGCAGCACTGACAGAACCAGAGGACAGTCTCAAGTTGCACCAAGGGAAATTTAGGTTGGATATCAGGAAAAAGCTTTTCATGAAAAGAGTGATGAACTTCTGGAATAGCCTGCCCAGGGAGGTGGAGGAGTCACCGTCCCTGGATGTGTTTTAAAAAAGACTGGATGTGGCACTCAGTGCCTTGATTTATTTGAGGTGTTAGGGCATGGGTTGGACTCCATGATCCTTAAGGTCTCTTCCAACCCAGTGATTCTGTGAATTCTGTGCCCCGCTTGGACCTGGAGAAGTTAGCTGAATTAGCCCTTCAGGTAGAAGTTCATCTTGCAGAGTTCTGAATCAGGGAAAGAAACAACCTGTTAGGAGGGTTTCCCCTAAAATTTACATGGCTTTGGAGCTTGTCTGGTTTCTGATAGTCTCCTGTGTGTCACTGCAGTGACAAAATCTGCAAGCCTTCAGCCCCAGCCCAGGCACAGCCCTGGTCACCTTGTCAGGGACAGTGTCCTGCTTTTCCTTCAATTCTTGCATGATATAGATCCTTTGGGATACCTGTTAACACCCATCTCCTGTATGTCACTGCAGTGACAAAATCTCTGTAAGCCCTCAGCCCCATCCCAGGCACAGCCCTGGTCACCTTATCAGGGGCAGTGTCCTGCTTTTCCTTCAACTCTTGCATGATATAGATCCTTTGGGATACCTGTTAACACCCAGATTTAGTTCAAAGGGCACCTTTTGGAGAAAGGGAACAAGTTATTGATGGCAGAGGAAATTCTTCATGTGAGAGGAAAACATTAATTGGGTAGAGCAAAATGTTTTAAAGCAGATTGGTTGCTATTTTGAAAGATCAGTTTAACTCTCAGTGGCCAAGGAGGAGAGAAAAAATCTTGAGTGAAGGGTTGTGTTTCTGCCTGGGATGGTTCTGAGCTCATTTCTTGTACAGCAACATGTCCACCCACAGAACCGGGAGAGACCAAACTACATTTGTCTTTTAGTAAAGAACAACCTTCCAAGGTTCTCCCCATGGCAGTGGGGAAGAGAAGGAGGTGTAGATTGTCACTGGCACTTTAAACAGAGCTGTTGTCCAGGACTCTGAAACTGGTCAAGCTGTGGCATCCTTCCCATGTGATGTCCTTCCCAAGCCTTTATTTCCTTCTTTTCCTCAGGTGTGCACTAAAGAAGAGCAGGACATTCTTCAGCGGGACTCCAACAAGAGCCAGAAGCTGCTGAAGAAGCTCATGGCAGGTCGGTAGCTATTCCATACCCAGAATAGGATGAATCCAAATGTTTGTGTGCATTATTTACTTCAGACTTCACTGAACCATTTGCCCTCATTGCTGCCCTTTGTCTGGCATTAAAGAGATGGATTGGGAGTTGGTTCCTTGGTTCCTCCTGCAAGCCCTAGGCATCATTTCCAGGCTTCAGCAGAGGTGACAGTGGCAAGTGTCAAATGGCAGCGTGTGGTGTCCTTTCCCTGAGGCCCCAGGGCTGCTCATTCAGCATTCCAGAACCAATCTCATGAACTGGATCATTGTAGCAGTCCTTGAAAATTAGGATAAGTCTCCTGTGGAAGATAAAGTGCTGCTGTCTGAGTTGCTGGGCTTAGAGAGGTGGTGGTTAATATTTTCTAATGGTTTTTCTTGTCTCACACTTACCTTGGGAGCTAGAAATAGGAACAGAGCCAAGGAAAGCAAGAGGAAATACTATCCAGTGTCCCAGCGAGGACCTGTGCATTGTGGGGATGTTTGTCTGAGTTGAGCTGAACTACAGCCAAGGTCGTGGTGTTCTTGGTTGGAAAATACACTTTGCTGAGGAGCTGGGGAGATATTTACTCCAGATCTGGGCTTCTCCTTAGAGCTGTGGAGATGGCAGGAGGATGGAAGTCCTTGAGAGCTCCAGCCAGTCTGTTCTACCCTTCCAATACAGATGTTAGCATACTTCAGGATCCCTTTTCTTACCTGTTTTATCTCTTTCCCTCCTGCCCATGCCAGCTCTTGTTTTGTTCTCTGTGTAGGTAAAAGCTGGAATGTGATTTGTTGTTTGTCTTGGGAGTAAAAATTGTGGATCAGTGACCAAAGGGAAATACAGGCAATTGTTTCCCTGAAAAGAAGGCATTTCCCAGTGTGGTGAAATGCACTGGTTTGTTCCATTGTGGCCTGGGTTCAAACCTTTTTTTGTGGTTTTCTTTGGTTGTTCCCTGTTGGTTGGGTGGGTCTGGACCCCTTGCCAGGAGGTGTAAGAAGGAAGAGCGTTTGCTGGGAATAGATTTCTCCATCTCTGGAAACAGCTGGTTTGGAGAATCTGGTGTGGTGTGTCAGAACAGGATATTGTTTGTGGGAGGCACAAGCAGCAGTAGAAGGCTCTGGGTCTCCTTGGAGTCTGTCCTGGGCAAAAGACTCTTTGTGGGGGTAACAACATGTGGGAAGGGTTTGGCTTTTAGGAGGGGACTCCTAAAAAAGCTGGGGTTGTTGCTGAAGAAGAAAAGCCTCCAGACCTTAAAGCCCCTCCCAGTGCCTAGAGGGCTTTTGAAAAGGAGGGAGAGGGACTACTTAAATGGGCCTGTAGTGATAGGACAAGAAGGAATGGTTTTAAACTAAAAGATAAGAAATTTAGATTGGATTTTGGAAAGAAATCCTTCTCTGTGAGGGTAGTGAGGCTCTGGCACACTACCCTCACAGAGGCTTTGGTTTTCCAAAGAAGCTATGGCTGTCCTATCCCTGAAAGTGTTCCAGGTCAGGTTGGATGGGGCTTGGAGCATCCTGGGATAGTGGGAGGTGTCCTTGGTGTTGCACCGTGGCAGGGATTGGAATGAGATGAGCTTTAAGGTCCTTTTCAACCCAAACCATTCCATGATTCTGTGACCCGAGGCCCATGGTTGGTGATGGGAGGGATTTTGACTGCCCAAATTGTTAGGGAAGAGTGAAGGAAAACCAAAGGCCAAGAGCTTCTCCTTAAACTTTACCCAGACTTTATCACTGTGATATTTAAGTGATTCCTCCTCTTTGGAGGAATGAGTCTTTGAAATGGGCTTGAGGGAAAATTGTGGCTTCAACCTCCCTGGAAAGATGCTGATCTTACTGCAAAGCTGTACTTTTACCTCCTGGCATGGCATTTAGTTTAGGGAGCATTTCTGCAGCTTGGCTCACCCAAATGGCTTTGACACACTGACTGCTGAGCTGTGTTTTGTTTTGTGCCTCAGGTGCCGAAAGTTCAGGGAATTTGGATGCCATAAGCAAAGGCTTGCTGCCTCAGCAGGAAGCAAGACTCAAGTCAGGCCTGGAGATGGCTGTGAAGCACAAAGACAAGCTGCTGGAATTTGATAGGACAAGGTAAGATACTAGGTGGGAGACTGTCATGAATAGTATAAATGACCTGGCAGGTGAGGTGCCTTTAGCAGAAACATTGGGAATTCCTTCTAAAACCCAGACTGCAGCAACTGTCACCTTAACTGTGGCATTTGAGTGGGACAGGAGAGGAGTGACTCTGTGGAATAGATCCCTTTTGGGTGTTCTTGCTTTTTGTCCCTGACAGTCCAGCTCTCCAGAGGGATGGGAAAGAGCAGGTTAGAGGGTGGGTTTGAGGCTCTGCTGTGGTCCCACTGTGCTCATCTTCTCCTGTGGGGGTTGCTCTCCCAGCGTGCGTCGGACGCAGGTCATTGATGACGAGTCGGATTACTTTGCCACGGACTCCAACCAGTGGCTCTCCAAGCAGGAGAGGGAAGCGCTCCAGAAGAGGGAGCAGGAGCTGCGGGAGCTGCGCCACGCCTCTCGGCTGGCCAAGAAAATCACCATCGACTTCGCTGGCAGGCAGATCTTGGAGGAAGACAACAACATGGCTGAGTACCACAGCAAGTGAGTGAGGGCTGGCAGCGTGCCCGAGAGCAAGGAAGTGCAAATCCTTATGGAGAGTGGTCTGACACGCCTGCTAAAGCTGCCTGGGAAAGAGGTGTTTAAGGAGGCCTGTCTCAACAGAGCCACTTGAGCTCAAATTCACACCAAGCTGAGTTTCTGCACTAGAGAGCAGTGACTGCTCAAACTGGAAATCAGACTGAGCAAGGAAGTAATTTAATTGGGGGAATGGGGCAAAAATGCTTTGAGTCAGGGTGTGTGGGGAGAAGGGAGATGTTCCCAGGGGAAGCAGGGAATGTTCATCCCTCTCCTTTGTGCTTGCAGACTGGATGAGACCATTGCAGCCATGAGCTGTGGCGCACTGAGCGAGCCAGCCAGGAGCCCTGGGGCAGAGATGACACCAAACTCTGGGGTTTTGGTGAATCCCCGTCTCCTCCAGCCTGCTCCTTTGGTCAGTGGGGCTTATGTGATTTATTCCAGAGTAGTGACTAATTCTGGGGAGTTGAGCTTGAGAATTGTCAGTTCCAGCATGTCTGTAGAAGGGGAACTTCTGGGGAGAAGATCACAGGATGGTTTGAGTTGAAGGGACTTTAAAGACAGTCTCATTCCATCCCCTGCCATGGGCAGGGACACCCTTCACCAGACCAGGCTGCCCTGTCCAACCTGGCCAAGAACACTTTCAGAGATGGGGTGACTTCTCTAGACAACCTGTTTCAGTATCTCACAACTCTCACAGTAAAGAACTTCTCCCTAATATCCAATCTAACCCTGCCCTCTGCCAGTGGGAAGCCATTCCCCCTGTTTCCCCTTGTTTTTTGCCCCCTCTTTCCTCCCATGTCGCTCATTGGCCATCTCAGTTTGGGACAGAGAAGGTTTGACAATGCCCTGATCCTGGTGGGTTCATTTACTGGAGTTTAGCATCCTGCCTCCTTTTCAGGCATGCAGAAGAATTTCTGAGTCAGCCTAAGGCTGTGTCACCCTTTCACCTCTATTTTTTGAAGCCTTTTCTGCCAGATTCCCATTTTCCAAAGAGCATAAGGGTAATGAAAGAAAACTTCAGATAGGATTTGCACTTGATTTTCACACATTACTCCTGGAGAAGTGCTAACCTTTTTCTGTTTCTTTTGAACACTCTCAAGTGGGTGGACCAAACTGGATTGCTCCCACAAAGGAAAACTGTTCGTTCCATGGAGGCTGGAAGTGAGTCTGGCTTGGAGCGGAACCGGCTGCGGATTCAGGACCGAGAGCTGCAGGAGATCTCAGATGATGGTTGGTGCCTCAGCCTGCACCAGCCTTGGGCTTCCTTGCTTGTGAGAGGAATCAAAAGGTGAAGGTATCCCTGGCAGCTCCTGCTCCACAGGGGAGGTGGGAAGTTGTGTTCCTCAGAGGATCTCTGTGGTCCCACTGGCCCTGTGCAATGACTGATACCTGGGATACCTCCAGGTGTGGAAGCTGTGCTTCCTCTTCCAGTGGGTTGAGGAGTTGGAGAATATTTTTTTTTTGGGGGTAGTACCTAACCTGTAAGGGACAGGTTTCTTCACAGTGGGTGAGTGTAGAGAGAGGCTGAGATTTCACTGCTATAATAGGGGCGTTCTTGTGTGGAATTTGAAAAGCAAATAAGGTAATCACTTGAAGTATGTTCTTCTGGGTTTTTTTGTTCAGCATAAAGAAGGCAACAGTGGCACCAGGCTTTGTTTAAAAGAAACCCAACCCTCGCCACTGCCTTTTTCCCCCTGGGCTGGGAATTGGGTTACAAAAAGGAGCTGCTACTGTTAATAGTGAACAAAGAATCTTCTTTAGCTTTTTTTTTTCTTCACCACATTTCTCATTTCGGAGACCAAAGCTTTTTCACTTCCCAAGTTAAAGATGCTGTAAATCTTAATGTGTCAGGATTCTTCATCCAGGTGTTCTGGGCATGCTCCAGTGACTCTGTACAGCTGCAGAATTCCAGGATCTCCGGACAGCTGTTCCATGCAGACCTAATCCCTTCTCCCTTGATTTTTCTGTGTGACTTTGGGAGCTTGTAAGGGACTTGTGTGAGCAGATTGTCCTGTATATGTGTTCTGCTGGCTCTGCTGGGGATTGAGGTCCTCTAAAGCCCTGAGGATACGCTCTGCTTTATTTGTGTCATTGTTTTTTGCCTATCTCAGCTTTTCTTTGTGGTCCTGACACATTGCTTGAGTTGGGATAATCAGGGCAAGGCTTAGCAGCAGGAATTGATGGTGTTGGAATGAAAATGAGGGTGGTTTCTGCTGAAGTTTTAGTCCTACCTTTTCCTCTGTTCTCTAGGGTGGAGGGCAGGACCTGGTACACATCTCATCGAGGGAGGTTATGGATTGCAGCTACTGCTAAAAGACCTTCCCCTCAGGAAATCTCAGAACTGGAGGCCACCTACAGAATGCTGCTCCGGAAAGGTGAGCTCCTCTCCTTGGTTCTTGGAGTGATTTGGTACATTCAGCCACATAATGAGCAATGTCAGAAATCCCTCTCTGCTGAGTAGGGAATGCTATATATAAAATTAAATTTCCAAGCCCTATCCTTTATGAGGAAGATCCTCACCTGGAAAAGGCACCCAAAAAGTGTTAAAATTGCTGTATGTGTTCTTGTGCCTCAAAGAGTAGAGGTGCCTGGAGGGGAGGGAATGGCACTTGGGGATTGGAAGACCCCAGCTGTGTGTGGGAATATGGGCTCCCTGAAGAGCTGTTTCTTTTGCTGCAGATGTGGAATTTCCAAGTGATTATCCCTCAGGATGCCTCCTGGGCTGTGTGGACGTGACTGATTGTTTATCACAAGAGCAATTTCAGGAGCAGGTGAGTACAGAAATGAACCTTTCCATGCTTGGATTAACCAGCAGGTTTTTAAAGCTGTGGAACTTGCCTCTGGAGAAGACATTGAGTGGAAATTTTAGATTGTGTTGAGAAGACACAGGTGGCAGAGGACATGAGGGTGCCTGGCAATTCAGGACAGCATGGAAACATGGACAACTCTGCCACAATGGTGGTGCTGTGCCTTGGAACCTTGTCCCTGCCCTGTGGTGCCAGTGGCACTGGTCTAGGAGAGAGTGGCTTGGCCTGTGCAGGGGCATCATGGTCCAGGGCTGCTGGATCTGCCTGGTGCTTCTTGCAGGAGCTGCAGGTCACAGTGGCCTCACTGGTAATGTCACACTGGCCTAGCTGGTGAGTTTTGTGCCCTGTTTGGGGCACTGAGTGACCTGGAGATGGAGCCATTAAAGGTGAGCTCTTTCCCACCAGGGAGGATGGACAGGAGAGCCACAGGACTACCTGTAGTGAAGCAAGGCTGGAATCAGGAATCTCTTGAGAAATCTCTACCCATAAAAGTCCATGGGTGATGATGATTTGTGTGCAGATATGCTGAGAGCTTTGGTAGGTGGCCTTGTGAGGCCACTCTTAGCTTGGGATCCTTACGAAAACCAGGAGAGGACTCTTTGTAACTGTTGCACCCGTGGTTAGAAAGGGAAGGAAGGAGATCTGGACACTTCAGGCCAGTTAGCTTCACCTTGGTCTTTGGGAACCTTGTAGAGAGATTACTCTTGGAAGGCAGTTTTGGGCACATGGAGGAAGAGGACATTAGGAATAGCAAGTGTGGATTTGCCTAAGAATAAACTCATACTTTACTAAACCAATAACCTTGGATCCAATAGATAGAGCGGAGAGTATCTATTAACCTGCTGTCCTAGAGTAGGCACAAATTCCAGAGGAGTCCAAACCAGTAGAAGTATTATTCCTCTTTGCAGTGGTTAACCACATATAGAATACTTGGGTCACCATAAAATTGTTGCTAAGCTGGAGCAAATCCCATGGAGACCACAAAGGTGGTTAGGGGCTGGAGCCCTGTGAGGAGAGGCAGGAGACACAGAGATCTTCCACTTCCTGCAAGGAGATTGTTGGGAGACAGAGCTGGGCTCTGAGCTGACATAGATGGCAGGAGGGTCATAAGTTGAAAGGGGAGGGTTCAATGTGGCTTAAGGAAACAAATTACCATAAGGATGACCCAGCAGTGGGGCAGGCATTGCCTAAGGGGTTGAACTATCTTCACCTGGGAAAATTTTCAAGACTCCAGAGGACAAAGCTGTGGGCAGCCTCACCTGAATTCAGTGTTGGCCCTGCTTCGGTGGGGAGGCTGGACTAGAGACCTTCTGGGACCTGAGTCTGATGCTGTGACTGACTCCATGCTCACAAAATCTGGAGCAGGAGCTTTCCTAGCGGTGTGTTTTATGGACTTAGAAAACTTGGGCTTAGCAGCAAGCACAGCACGGCTGTTCCTGATCCTATTTCATCCCTACTCACTCCACTGCTCCTTGTGCTTGTGGTTTGGTCTGGTGGGAATCACTAAACCATGACCATCTTGTGAGGTGGAATAGATGGGTTCCTTGGGAAGGAATCCACCAGGATGATCTTCCTGTGAAAAGCTGCAGAGGCAGCAGGAGCTGGGGCTGTTTTTCAGGGAGTGCTCCTCTGGCTTTCCCAAACCCTGTGAGGTTTTTATCTGGGAGAGATACCTGGAAAGACAGGGAGTGTATTTCTGATGAGATTGTGTCTCTTAATCAGAGGAGGAAGGCAGAGAAGTTAGAGTATGAGCAGCAGAGGGAGCTTTGGGACAGGAATACCATAAAACCGACAGGAGTATATGGCTTTGTATGGGAACAGGCCTTGGGAGAGAGAGAGGAAGGGGCACTGAGGCCATTGTAGGCATTTTCTTTTGTAGCATCCACTAATTTGCAGTTTTGGCTTCAGTGTAGGTTCCTGTCCATCTCCTGCTGTTTGTAACAGTGGTGGAAAAATAGATCTTGGTCTCCTACAAGTACTTTTCTGTTTGTCAAAATCTCTCCTCTTCCTATGTGGATGTGTTGTTCAGGCATTGGTAGAATGGCTGTGACAGCATCTCTGATCTGGGAATTGTGCTGTAGGTAACCAGCTTGAGTCTTCCCAGGGAGGACTTTCACAATTAGCCACATTCTCTGGAAATCCCTCCCAGTTTGTGAGCACTGCTTGGCCACAGAGGGACTGGAGGCAGAGCAGTGTATTCCAGGAGCACCATTATCCAACCTGTTAGTGACAGATTTCCCTTTCTCCTCAATGCTGTTGCATTTCTCTGGCTTTTGCTGCTTCCGTATTCCAAACTACTTATACTCCCTAATTTCCTGCATTTTAATAGGGATTTTGTCTGTTGTATCCCAGGATTCCTTTAAGCAGCAGTAAATTCCCTCACTTGTGAGCTAAAATCCAGAGATGTGTGTCTTTCTGCAGTTGCTTTCGGAGGAAATGTCTGGTTTTTTCGGCTCTCAGGAGCAGCAAGTGCATCTGAAGGAAGCTGAGCTGAATTTAATTGCAATTGTCAGCAAGATGACAAAGTGTGCAGCACCAGCTCAGAAATCTGAGTTGGGTCTCGCCAGGAGTAAGAAATTCCTGTTGCTCACGTGGCTGTTTCAGCCCGGGTTCATCAGCAGTGTCAGCACTGTGATCCAGCCAGTTCCCAGTGTGCAAAGATTTCTTGTAGCTCAGGCAGAAAGGCAAGGAACATGATGCTTTTTCACCACTTAGGGCATGCAGAAACATTGGGTATTTTCAAGGAATGTGTGAGCAGGCGAGGGGAGGTGATGCAGAGCAGAGACCTCTCAGGGATTGAGCTCTCGTGGAGCTTTTCCAGGCGCTGTGCTTTGACTCACACCTCTCCTCCTCACCACCTCCTGTTTGAGGCTCCTGCATGTTCCAGAAGAAATCATTTCACAAGTGCAGGGTGAGCCTCACTTGCAGGTTATACCAACCTCCCAAGGATGAAATAGTTCCTGGCTTGCTCATGGTGTTTTGATGGCGATCCAGTGTTTTTTGGCAGCCACGTAAGTTTGGTTTGACTCTTGTGACTATTTGTTCCCATAGGCAAGGGAGACTGTTCCTGGTGTTAGGTCTGTTTTTCTTCATCCTGGGGGGCGTTCAACCTGGAGAAGAGAAGGCTCTGAGGAGGCCTTAGAGTCCCTTCCAGTGTCTAAATGGGCTCCAGGAGACCTGAAGAGAGTCTTGGGACAAGGAGTTCCAAGACATGGGGAAATGGCTTCCCACTGCCAGAGGGCAGGGTTAGATGGGATATTTGGAAGGAATTGTTCCCTGAGATGGTGGTGAGGCCCTGGCACAGGCTGCCCGGAGAAACTGTGGCTGCCCCATCCCTGGAAGTGTTCCAGGCCAGGTTGGACAGGTCTTGGAGCAATCTGGTCTAGTGGAGGGTGTCCCTGCCCATGGCAGGGAGAGGAATGAGGTGAGCTTTAAGGTCGGTTCCAACTTAACCCAATCTGTAATTCCATGGCTTCGTGGTCTGTCCCCACTGCAACTCTCCCGTTACCTCTCGGCCCTTTCACTGCTGTCACCCACTCCCTGTTTAGCACTGTCTGCAGATTTAATTTTTCTGCTGTTTGCATCCTCTCTCAAGTTGCTAATGAAGATGTTGTGGCACCCTGCTGGTATTTTTCTGTCATTATCCTCATTTAATTTTTTTTTTTTCACTTGTGCTCAAAAAACCAAAATTAAGCAATGCTGCCCCAGCAGAGTGAGACCCATTCCCTGCCAGAGCTCTTGCATTATGACCAGGGAGTGGTTATTTAACCACATTTTTGCTGCACATGTAAGCCTGGCCTTTCATCACCACTGAGAGGGGGCGGTCCCTACCTTCCTCTGCCCTACCTGCAGCATTTGAGGCCCGACTGACGTTGCTGAGATGGTTTGCAGATCCTGAGGATGTGTGGGAAGTGATGATGGAACAGGATCTGTAGTGTTGGAGCTGGCAGGGAGCAGAGGGAGAGTAGAGATGTCCTTGGGATTGGGATCAGTTGCACGTCAGGTACCCTAATCCCAGTTATGCTGCCTATTGCATGAACTAGTTAAATCTGCTCCTCTGGGTCTCTTTCCCACATGAAAAATAAATCAATTCTTCCAGTCAGAGGTTATTTACACCACATCTTGCTGCTCAGAGCTGTGATCTTTGGCTTGAAGCTGCTCTGGCAGCAGAAGTTGTGTTCAGGCAGGAGGGTCCAGCCAGGTGTCCAGCATCACTTGTCCTGTTTGCAGGGACCTGCAGCAGGAGCTGCAGCCTAAACTCAGCCCTGGTTGCCTGGTGCCTGGAGATCCCTCTGAAATCTCAGGATTTCCAGTTGAGCTTTGCACATCTCGCCCCTCCTCAGAGTACATTCTGGGCTCATTTCCTTCTCTTCCTGGCAGCAACCCAAAAATCCCTGCTCAAGACCAGAATGATTCCTTTGTTACACTTTTCAGCTAGAGGTGACCTGGAAACTTTTTTCCCCCTAGGAGATCCAAGTGTTCACTAAGGCTTTTCCTTGCTCCGGGGCTGACGTCACTGACACCTTGAGCAGAGCAAGGAGCTGCCCTTGTTTTCCTGCACGAGGTGTCAGTGACTTCAGCAGCTCCCACTTGGGATCTGTGGGACGGGGCAGGCAGGCCTTGGCACAGGACTAAAGCCAGCAGGGAAGTGTTTACATTGATGCCGTTTCCATGTGCCCTGAAGTCCATGTTCATTTTGCTAATGGCTTTGATCTGAGACGATTTAGCTGGAAAAAGAGTGTTTCCTGCTGCTGTTTTGGTGCTTGATAGGTGTGTTTGGCTTATTTTGAGCGCAGACACACGCCAGTACCTGGATGGAGCTATTATACCAGGCTGAAATATTGGCTAATTATGTTTGATGGGAGTTAAGTGTTTATTTTCCATTTCTAGGTGATCACTTAGTGTCCTAAATCTGCTCAGGGAACATGTAGAAGCTATTTTTGTGCCACGAGATTGCAGCTATC